AGTTGGACACTGATGAGGAATCTTTTGAACTTGGAAAGGTCTTGCCAACTTGAACAACTTCAGTCTAGGGTGAGTGGGTAGGAAACTGGCTATTGTACCAGAATAAAGAATGCTTTACTCTGAGTCACTGAACTCATAACCCAGAGGTTATGGGAACGCTTGACTTCTTGCCTGGGATAAACGCCTAGCTGTTGTATGTGGGGTATGGGGAGGGTTCTGCTGTTCTAGCGACCTTTATTTAGTTTCCTTGTTCTCGGCCCTGCTTCTCACTCTTGCTGTCTTGTCGAGGTCTCCGAATTTCAGTTTCTCTACATCACTTCTGGAATGCAGACCCCTTCCTTGGCTGCAGCGCCCTTACACCTATTCCACATTGTGTTGCTTCCATTTGTTTAATCAGACTGCACTCCGTTTGTGTGTAAAATTAAAAAAAAAATCTTTTGGCGGCTCCCTTCTCATTTTTTTTTTGTTTCGGGGGGAATTTGTATCATTTTTCACTTAAAAAATAATTCTAATGTGGTCTCAGGAAGAAGAGGCAATGAATGCATGTACTTAGCCAGCTTAAATTAAAAAAAAAATCCTAAATGTAGGTTTAAGAAAAGCTATTTGGGCAGACTAGAAAATAAGAGAAAAAAAGTGAAAAGACAAAAGAAAAAAACCCCAAACAAATCCAAATTCCGAGTGTGGATATGACAGTATTCCTGTGTACGTATAACTTAATGCTCAGCGTCCTGCACGCTTGCGATGCACACATTTTTGAGGTAGGTTACGTCTGAGATGTCTAGTTCACACCCCATTTTCCGGCTGAGAAGAGCAGGTCCCAGAAGTCATGCGACTTTCCCAAGGCCACACAAAGAGAGTGGCAGAAAGGAAAGCAGAAGACAGGATGGCTCCGCTCCGCTGCCACCTCCCCGACGCTGCGGAGGAGCAGGTCGGGCGGATCAGCCGTCAGCCGGGCAAGGTCTCGAAAATCAGTCCGAAGCCCGAGGACACGGAGCACCTGAGGACGCCTGTCTGGCAGTCTCCGGGGTCCTCGGCGGCGGCCCGCAGGCGGCAGCCCGGTGCGGAGTGCGC